ATGAGCTATTGTTAATACACAATGAATCTATCACTTACTTTACCAGAGTGTTTGTGAGGCAGATATGCCAATAAGAACATAATAAAGTAACTAAAATGGGTAAAATTTTAACTAGCATGTGATTTGTCTTTTACTGGGGGTAATAGAAAAACAAAAAATCTACACTAAAACTCTCCAGTAGTAGATGGAAGTGGATTAGCAAATACGCCAAAAAAATTCTCTGAAAATATAATTACTCATCCATGAATTTAGAACAAGTAAATATCTATTTATTATAAATTTATTTATAAAATGAATTCATATAAATATAGCTATTCATTCTCTTGATACCTCATTTTTTGAATTAAGAGCTTCTGACTATTATTTGCCTATAATATACTTAATTAACTGTAGAAGATAATGATCAGTTTACTATATTATTTAGTCTCTTCCACATATCTGATGTACTTTCATATAATCATGGAATATTAAGGCAGGAAGAAACGTAAGTGATCAGTTAATCAAATGATGTTCTATAGAGCCCTAGCATTCTTTTGAAGTAATTTCATTTGGATATAGGGAAGTTGTGGAAGTGAATTGGAGTGATTACCTTCTCATCCTACTTTAGCCAGATCAACTCTACATTAGTTTGTTTTATATATTGAGATTTTGTCTTAGGTATTGTTCAGGCACAGTACCCCCAGACCAAAAAATAAAATGCTGTAAAGCTACCGATCAAATCTCAAATTTTGATTTTAACAGATTAAGAAATTAAGTTCTAAAAAAACACATCTAAGGTTTATGTTCACGATCACAAAATGTAGGAGAACTAAAACTAGAAAACAAGATTTTTAATTCTCAGTTGATTGCATCTTTTACTTCACCAGTTTTATACATGTATCTTTCTTTGTAGTTAAGACAAGCTAGATTGTTTCAGTAAAAGTCCATGTCTGCCTGTATACGTTTTATGTAGTCTTCCCTCCCTCGTTGACCCTGGTTTTGACTTACATTGGCCAATGGATTATTAAGGAATGTGAAGGAAGCAGATATATGATAACTATTTATACATTAGGGCTCTCATTCTTTTGCTACTGCTAATTCTTCTGTAATATAAGAAAAATATTAGGCTCATCTTATAGAAGATTGGAGAGCTCATGGACAGAATTTCCAGTTAACATCCCAGTTCATGAGTGAGCTTAGCCAATACCATGCGAAGCAGATAAGCTTTTCCAAATGAGGTCAGGCCACAGAATCATGAGCAAATTGTTGTTTCTTTAAACCACTAGGTTTTTAGGTAGTATGTTATGCAGGGCTAGCTGACCGAAACAGCAGTATTGACTTATTGTCCCAACTATGTCCTGTTCTAGGATCTGAGCTTGGCATATTTTTATGGTTTATTTCAAAAACTGAGATCACACTGACTTCTTCCAGCAGCTAATGTTATATAAAATTAAATATTATTTCATTAGAGATATTCTCTCTTAGGTTCCTTTATTTTCTTCAGCAACTATAATCTGATACATTAAGATATATTTGATTATCTTTAATTATGGAACTCTGGCCACTGCCATAGTTACCAGGATCACCTGTAAAGAAAAAGGCCCAGGTGAGCTACATCTGAGTAGTGGAGGGATGGAAGGGCCAGGTCCAGAATGTCCCTACAATTTGTGACAAAAGGTCAAAAGTATAAATGGAAGCCCATACATCACATGTCTAAATTTTAAAAGTAATAAATCAAACCAACAAATTTTTAAATAGATGACAGTCTGTTATTTCACCTTGACAAATATATAATATAACTTTTTACCAACCTGGAAGACCAAGTTTAGATTTAGAATTTTTGGCCTCTTCAGAATTCAGGCCACATAATTAATTTTGGTCCACATTTTCCCCTTAACAGCCACCTCTTAATTACCCTTTAATTCTAGGAGTACTCCATCAGGAGGATTAACATAGGGAAGAGCCCTGTGCAAGCAATGGAAATGGGATCAAAGCACTTTGGTTTGTGAATTATGGCATCCCATGAACTTGGAATATGGATGAGGCTGGGCTCCATGTAGGCCTGTCCCATTGGGCCCATGTACTTCTTGCAGATGCAGACAGACAGTGCCAGAGGAGACTCAGAGTAAGGCCCTAGAAAGCATGAGGCTCAGAACAGGAAGCTCTCTTTCCTGTGTCTAATTAATAATTAATTTTATTATTATTATTAATTTAATATCAAAAACATGGAGTGTGCCATAGTATATGTGTTAGATTGGGGCACCCCAACAGCAGGCAGTCCCTGAGATCAGGTCTTGAGGTCAATAGTCCCTTGAGATCAATCTTGAGAGGTGATCTCAGGAACCATAGCTGGAGTGTGAGAGATGAGAGACAGCAGCAAGCAACAGTGAATTCCGAGAGTGTAAATGAACAATTGCCAACGTGAGCAATTTGGGCTCAATTTCACTACTGATCTCTAAGAGTTAATGTAGAATTCACCTCAGAACTATTCCAACCAAAGGATAAAGAAGCTAGATTACTTTTCCACCAATATGATACATCATTTATTAAGGACTGCAACTGCAGGTATTAACCGTCACTTTGTCTTGATCCATGTGAGGGATGAGCTCCCTCCGGTGACCAGAGAAAGCCCTCAAGGAGAAGGTCACGAATTTCCATAAAGCCATTGACTTATATGAAATATTTAAATGCAAAGGAGTCATGGCAGGATATGGACAGCATCTGTTATAGTACAGAATTGGAAAGGGCTTTGAGAAAACATGTCCCTAAAGAGAATGATGGTATGGTGGCACAATGTGGCCTATAAACTTTTAAGTTTCTAAGGGTCAAAATGGTGTCTACCTCTGCTATTTTGCATCTAAGGGTATGCAGATACTAGCAGATGAATCTCTTAACCCAGAAGTGGCTTCTGAATTATGCTATATGATAATACTCCTGTTTACATTTATTACATGAATCGATTAAATTATTTTTGATGTTTAAGAAAAGAAACGATTTATCTTCAAAAATAGAACCATCTTTTCTGTGAATTCCACTTTATGATGGATTTGTTTTTGGACATGTGAAGGAGAGGGGCTGGCACTGTGCATCCCTTAGGGTCTTTGCTCATGAATTTTTTATGAGTTGGAAAATACATACTTAAGAATGTCCTTGGCTTTCACTTTGATTCAGTATCATTAGGAAATGAATACTTTTAAGGAAAAGGAAATAGTGTATGACAAAGCTTTTGATAGAAGCTTTATACTTGAATATGTACATTTCAATTGTTTACCATTAGGTGCTAGTTATTCTTTATTATGATGAAAATAATAATTACTGTTGCTTAAATTTCCTTTTCTAAGCAGTTTAATTTTATTTGAATCACCTAATTTAAATACTTTCAATCTATTCATGCAAGAAAAAATGAAGTTTCTTTATTTTTGTTAATAAAGCAAGAGATTTTGATCAAATCATTATCTTACCTGGTTTATTCTAATGATTTTGCCACAACTCAAATACTTCTCTCAGAATGAAAGTAATCAATGAAAAACAGATGATAAAATGTGCCTGAAGTCCTTTTTCACAAGAAAAAAAAAATTTATTCTAAAATTAGATTTGTACTTGAAAAGGATGGACTAAAAATAACATTCTGGCAGCCTTTGTTTTCTCTTTAGACCAGCTGAGAATCTTGGACTTTGGTTAGATGTAATATAGATTTCAAATATGATCCATTATCAGTGTGTTTTAATATACAATATATAACTGTAACATTATACAAAATATATATGATAAACAGCAATATATAACATGTGACATATGATGTATAATATATAATTAAGATATTTTTATAATAGATAACATATAACATATAACTTATTACACACATATATAAATCTAAAATTTGTTTTAAAAATCATTTAAAGCAGTTAATATTCTTGCAGAAGTGACTGATTTTGTTCTTGCAGGAGTGACTGATTTTCTTGGCATATAGATTTCCAATGTGTTTGAAAAAACGGGTTTGCTATTTTTAACATTAGAGGTGTTAATGTGAGTGAATTAAAATTATAGCCAATTAATGTCATAATACTTGTCCATTGGTTGATAAACTTAATTGGCTTTCTTGGTTTCAGAGAACTTCTTTACAGAATTAGGCTTCTAAACATTTTTTATCATTTGTTTTTCATCTATTACTTAAATACTTTTGGCATTGGCAGTGAAGTTTGTATTATATGCTTATATTGCATCATACTTTAGAGTTGAGAGATTTTTATAACTATTTTCTCATTTCATGGAGAATAAGAAAGTGGTAACCTTCTGAGGAAAAGTAATATTGCCTGGAAGGAAAGAATCAGCATAGATAGCCTGCCCATCATAAGAAATATTAGCTGTTCCTTTAAGGTAAATGGTATAACAAAGTGATATGATAAGTTTTAATTGAAAATGCCTCTTTGTGCTTCTCTTGGTTATTAACTATGAAAAATTATTTCTATCCACTGGCCAAGTTGCAAATTATTTTGATTACTATGGGACAGAGTACCCACAAGTCATGGAAATCTGGCAGACAATAGCACTTACCAAATATTCCATATATCTGTCTTATTTCTCATACCTCATTCAGTTAGATAGATCCATGTGACTGGTTCTGGCCAACGAAATGTTATGTGTGTACTTTTGAGCCGAGCACTGAAAAGCTCTTGAGCAAACATTTAGCTACAGCTCTTCTCCTGACCTGTCAATGAAGAAGGAGAGGTGTTTCAGATGGTACTGCTGCAGATAGTGGTATCTTTCACAGCATGGGTCCCTGAGTAACTTTATGGAACAGACCTTTCTCTGACCTATGCAGAATATGTTCTGTCATTGATAAATAAACTTGTTTGTTATGTCCTGGAGATTTAGGGGTAGCGTGTTACCCCAGGATGACCTAGTTTCTTCTAGATTATACAATTAAATACAATAATATTAAATATCGCTTTACCTTAAAATGAATTTTAGGATTTATGCCATTTTAAATGATTAAATTATTTTTAAAATTATCTTGATAGTTCCAGATGGATGTTTTTCAGTTCCTTTGAAATTTGTTCCTCTCACTCCTGGACGCTACCCTTGTAAAATTTTGTTGACATCAAGGTACGATGTGCGTCTATATTACATTGAGGGTGTGGTGGATCATGAATGTCCAGAGGCCAGATTTAAATTTGAAACACCAGCATTTGGAACTCTTACCCAGAATATTCCAATAGTAAGTACAGGTGTTTTGTGTTTTGGGGGGTTTTTTTTGTTTGTTTGTTTTTGTTTTCATTTCCACTGCCACCCTCTCAATTAAAGTCCTCCAAACCTCTTTCTTGAACTATTACCAATTTCTAATTGCATTGTCTTTTGCCATTTGTTTCTCTACATTGAGGTCAGAGTTTTATTCCTGAATATAAATGTTATCATGTTTCTCATCTGGTTAATCACTTCTGCTGGATCTCTTTGCTTAAAAAAAAAAAAAAAAAAAAAAAAAAAAAAAAAAAAAAAAAAAAAAAAAAAAAAAAAAAAAAAAAAAAAAAAAAAAAAAAAATAACTCCAACTTCCTTAACCTATCACCAAATTCCTACTCAAAAGCCATGCCTCATGGCTCCACCAAGCAGAGTCATGTTCTCTCAGATCACTCTGCTCCAGATTTGGTTGTGATCTTGACACTTAACTAAGATGGGTTCGTAGGCACTAAGAATAATGGTTGTCTGTAGCTTAGCTATCTATTACTCAAAGTGATAATACAGCATAGAAAGTAATATAATTGTAAGGAATTCTAAACTTTTAGACTGAGAAATGACTTTTTGTTTAATTATTAAAGATGTAACAGAAGTCTGCTCAAAGCACAAAAGTTTGCTCTGATGAGATATATGAGCTTTGCTATCTAAGCAATCTACCAGTTAGAACACTTTTTATTACGTATTATTAGGAGTAGAATGTGTAACTCCAAGACCATTTTATCATTTTAACAATAATTAGTAAGTCAAACGAAGGAATGTTGCTTTAGATATTAAATACCATGTATGAACCTATTAGGCAATACTCCTGTATGACATTGAAATGGCATATAGTCATCCTTGTGCCTTATGTGCGTGTTTTTGATAGTTCTTACCAAATATGACTTTCAAATGATGATTCTTAAGAAATACAATTTTTAGGCAATATATTTTATGAAAAGCTCCAAGAATTAATATGTAATTCAACTTCAAAAATATCATCTCTCTGATATTTTTCTACCTCTTTTTATGCTTTAGAATAATAAAACAAAGAACAAATGGAAATGTCAAGTTACCATAGAAGGAGAATATTTTTTTGGACCTACTATTGTATCTGTCGAACCAGGTGAAACTGTGCTATATCCTCTCACATTCAAACCTCTTTTGGAGTGTGAGATTATGGTATGAACTCATCGATATATTTTCCACAGTATTAATATGTCAATAAACCAATGTATGATATTAACCTATATAACTTATAGTAAATCTTTTTGCAGAAAAGTTATATTTTTGTGAATGTGATCATTAGTGTCCACTGTGCTTGAAACTCTAATACATGTTTTAACTTGAGGGATAAACATTCTGAAAGTCACAATGCCATTGGCTGCCAATACTTATGTTGAGATTATTTTTACATAATACATTTGACAAAGTAAAATCATTGCTCTTTTTGTTTTTATTCAGTAAGGAAGTTGGAACTTCAGAAAATATTTTCTGAAGACATATTTCTTTAACAAGGATGTAAACATGCTATATATTAGAATGCTTATGTAAACTCTGTACTTAGAGAAAGTAAAGGGAAATGAGATTTTCACAGGAAATTCATCTTTATTCATTCAGTAGAAGTATTGGTACATTAACTGGAAAAGTCAATAGGTAACACCTCCTTGCAAGCTCATTTCATTAATCAGATTCAATATAAATAGAATAGTAGAGGTTGTTTAGCATCCAGCTGTGACTCCTGTAGAGCTGAAATTTGGTTGATTTCTCATAGGGCAAACTTATTCTACAAAATGAAATAGATGGTATGGCACATATCTTTGAAATGAAAGGGATTGGCAAAAAGCCCGTGGCCTTGGAACACATCATTGTAAACTGTCAAGTAGGAATGTTAGAAGATAAAACCATAATGGTGCCCAATCATACAAAGACCATGGTAACCTATAAGGTAAGATTTTTTTTTTTAAGTATAAAAGTGTTTTCAGAAGAAGTATATTGAATTATATGAAATTTTAAAAACATTTAATTTTATTTAAATAGGTGAAGCCAAGTCAGATGATGTTTAGCATTCTACTTTTTATTAGTCTAACAGTTATTAAATTTTATTGTAATTATAAAACTGAATTAGTACCAAACAAGTTTTATATCTAATATAGTATATATCATAAAACATATTAAAATTTTCTTATTTGAGACATGTGTATTTTCACTTGAATAAATTGTACATGATAATAAAAGGTATTTTCAAAAAAATTTTAAACAGCTTTTAAAAATTTTATGTGAAATCTATAGGTAAAAAATTTCAAAAATGTATTCTATCAATGCCAGTGTGAATAATAGTGGAAATATGAAGAAATGCATAATTATTTTCATCTTTTAAAATTTTGTGTCTGTAGATTTCACATAAAATTTTTAAAAGCTGTTTAATTTTTTTTTGAAAATACCTTTTATTATTATGTATAATTTCTTCAAGTGAAAATACACATGACTCAAGTAAGTAGATTTTAAGGGTGGAAATTAAAACGAAGGAAGGAGGGAGAGAGGAAGGAAAGGAAAAACTCATGACTACTTGAATTTGCTATAAATAAGGAAAAAAATCATTTTCCACCACCCCTTTCCCCTTCCAGAATTTACTGGTAAGCAAGGAATCCTGTCTTAAGAGTTTGAGGAAAATAGGTTAGAGAAAAATCTATACTTTGATAACATTGGATTATTTCATTTTGTCATTATAGCAGAGATGATGTCTATAGGCAAAAGGAAGAAATCATATAATCTCTATTTGCAGATATGATTTTACAAATAGAAAATTATAAGGGATCCACTAAATATACTATCAAAACTAATAAATGAGTTTAAGAGTTTTTCAGGATACAAGATCAATATACAAAAATCAATCATTTCTATATATTAGCAGTAAACAATCCAAATTAAATTAATAACTATTTACAATAGATCAAAATAATGAAATGCTTAGGAACAAATTTGACAGATGAAGGGCAAGACTCATACACTGAAAACTACGAAATATTATTGAACAAAATTAAAGAAATTTCCAATAAACAGAAAGACATCTTACGCTCATAGATCAGAAGACTTATTATTGTTATGATTTCAGTGTTACCCAAATTGATACACAGATTCAACACAATATCTATCAAAATCCCAACTGACTTTTTTTTTGCAGAATATCACAAAGCAGTCCTAAAATTCATGTATAACTGCTAGGGACACAGAGCAGCCAAAGCAGTCTTATAAAATAAAGAAAAAAATAGGATGACTCATACTTCTTGATTTTAAAACTTACTACAAACTTTTAACTACAAAACTATAATATTAAAAAAATGTGTTACTGGCATAAGATAGATGGAGTAGAATAGAATGTCCAGAAATAAACACTCATAATAACAGTCAATTGATTTTTGACAAAGATACCAAGAGAATTCAATGAGACAGAATAGGGTTTTTAAAAAATGGTGCTGAGACAACTGTATAGTCACATACAAAAGAATGAATTTGGGCCCCTAACTCATACCATGTATAAAAGTAAACTCGAAATGGATCATAGACCAAAATTTAATAAGTATAACTAAAAATCATAGGAAAAAAAATCATAGCAATAAATCTTCATGACCTTGGGTTAGGCAATTATTTTTTATATATGACACCAAAACCACAAGTAACAAAACAATAAATATAAATAAATAAATTAGACTTCAATGTTAGAATGTTTGTGCTTCAAATGATACCTTGAAGAAAGTAAAAAATCAATCCATAGAATGAGAGAAATTATCCACATGCCATGTATCTGATAAGGACCTTACATATAAAGATCTCTTACAACTTAATAATAAAATGGCAAATAACACAGTTTTTAAAATGTACAAAGAGTTTGAATAGACATTTCACAAACAGAGTATACAAATGAGCAATAAGCGCATGAAAAACTATTCCACATTATTGGTAAATACGGAAATATAAATCAAAATCACAATGAGATACAACTTCATACCCACTAGGATGGCTATAATCAAAATGACAGACAATAAAAGCTTTGCAAGAAGATGTAGAAAAATAGAAACTCTCACTCATTGTTGATGGGAAAGAAAAATGGTGCAGCTATTTTGAAAAACAGTTTTGGAAGACAGTATCTTAAAAGGTTAAACATCGAATTGTCATATGCCCAAGCAATTCCACTCCAAGATCTATGTCCATAAGAAATGAAAATCCATGTCCACTCAAAACCCTGTACATATATTCATAGCAGCATTGTTCATAATAGACAAAAATGGAAACAAATCAAATTTCCATCAATTTATGAATGGATACACAAAATGTTTCATATCATATAATTTAATCATTCATCAATCAAAGAAATGATGTACTAATGTATATCACAACATAGATAAACCTTGAAAACATTATGCTAAGTAAAAAAAGCCAGTCACATAAGACCACATATTATATGATTTCTTTTCTAGGAATTGTTCAGAGTAGGCAAATCTGTCAAGACACAAATTAGATTTTGTTTGCAGTGGGGGATGGTAAGATGTAAGTACTCAGTACGCTGAAAATTGGATTTAACCAGGGTTGTGGTCAAATGCTGCTTAAATATTCTTTATATGCTGTATTAATATTGATGTAGAAATTCATTGAAATGGTTCATCTTTTGTACATCGAAATGCCTGCAGAAAATGGTGTGTGGTCTATAAAAGATACTCAGATTGTCTAAGTATCAATGAGTGATCTTGGTACAAGTAGCAACAGAAAATAAACTTTGTTTTTTTTGTAAGAATCATTACCTTTGTTCTATTTCTTAACAGGTCTCAGATTTTTCTTCTGTATGTAGCATTTTTGGTATGCTTTTCATTTAAAACTGAAGTTTTAACATAATGCAATATATACATGACTTACTGTTGAATGATACACTTGAAACTTATTTGATTTTGTAAATAAATGTCACCCCAATAGTTTTTAATTAAAAATAAATAAAGCAAAGAAAAAATAAAAATGAAGTTTTAATGAAAGTATTTAAACTTCAGTTTTTTTCTGTGCTTTAGGTTGTTACACTAATTTCATGTAAATGTTGATGTTATATAATTCTTGTTTTTAAATTCTCTTTTCTAGGTATCTTCAGATCTTCCGATAGTATGGGGAGATCCACACATCACCATAGACCCTGATAGTGTATTTCCATACATTCTACACATAAATCCTCGGAAACGTGGCATATTCAAAGGTAACAAAACCATTAATAAAATATTAATTCTCCATGTGACAGGTAGATTTTGAGTAATAGTGAGCCTATTTCAAGCACTTCAATAAAAGTACCATATTTTGCCAGTTTTTATGTAATTCAGAAGATTTAAACTGATTTTAACAAATATAAATTTTAGTTTTCATTTTAATCATCAAATGTTAGTCTTAATTCTGGAATTTTTTTTAGAATTTTAACTTTTTGTTAAAGACAGCAAGTCTTTTAGAATTGCCATTATTATTTCTGATAAACGATCAGTTTCCTGTTCTATGAAAGGCAGAGAGTTCTGCTATATGTGAAAAGAACCATAAGAGAAACTTGAAGCTGTGGAGCATGGTTGAATTAAGAATGCTTATGACTCCTTAAACAAAACAAAGCCCCTGATCCATGAATCAGACCCTTAAAGTTTTGGAAATGGAACTAAAGAGAATTAAATAATCAGATTTAATACATCTTTCCTTTGAATAGTTATTTTTGTTAATTTTGGCAACATTTCAGAGACCATAAAATTTCAATACATATTTTCACTAATGAGATATGGACTCTTTTAACATGTTGGTTTGAGGGACATTAGAAGGAATTTGGGAAAGTTAAAAGCAACTCAGGGTACATTTTTGAGTGAGGATGAATTTGTAAATGTTGCTGGCTACACAAGAGGTTTTGCAGGCTTCATAATTTTGAAAAATATTTGCAAGACATGATCACGATCATTCGTCCCAGGACGATCCTTTAGAGTTGATTAATGTTGTCATTATAATGTGGAGAAACGGAGCCTGTAAAGAAGGCTAATCCCATTTTTATTGATGTTACTAATAGAAGATGTCTACAATATTTGAAGTAGTGTAAATATAATTGCTTCTAATAGCTGTTAATCTGATGCAATATAAAGAAAACTAGACTATATAATTTTCATACATATATGAGAATGTTCCTCTTTGTGATGTTTGAAGAAGTATATCTGTGTCTGTGCATGTGTGTATGTGTGTATATCATTGATCTTTAAAAAAACTTTGTGCTAATTTTTATTTCTGTTTTTTTATTATGTAACAATTATTAACAAAAGGCCTATAATTTGGGAAGCCTTGATAAGCATAGCGATTATGACCCAAACTGACATTCAAGCAATTATGTTTGTTATAACAGATTCTTTTCCTTATATGTTGGCAAATACTCAATCATTTGAGCTCCACTATGGCTTAACTTTTGCCACTGTAGCCACCACAGCCCCTTCCTCATCCCTTATAGATTTCCCAACAATCCAGCAGCTACTAAAGGGTTAGCTCATCAGGTTGCCTCAGGACTTTGATCAGGTGTACTTTCTGATTGGTGAGAGATGGAATATAGGTTTGTAAATTATTTTGAGTGTTATCCCTGGTTACAAAGATAGATATACTATGGCTCCAGCATCCTAGGAATTCATATCTGGTGGTGGAAAAAGATATTCATAAATCATTTCAATACATGGTACACTCTAGTGTACCAAGTTTAAGCATGACACTGGGTAGCATGCTAGTGGGAAATATTAACCAGAACGGTGTGGGGGGGTGGTGATCTGAGAGTGCTTCTTAAGGGGCGGTTGCTTTGATCTGGACCTCAAAGGATGAGCTAAGATTTATCAGCCAATATAATGCAGAGGGCATTCCAACAGAGGGAGCAAACCTTACTGTAAACACAGAGAAGACACTTACTGTAAATAATGAATAGAGAGGTATGTCTGGAGTGTGTGATTGTCGTAATGAATGTGGAAGAATGTACAGTTGAAAATACAGGCAGTCTTTGTTGAGCAGGATTCTGTTTTACTCCTTGTTGCAGTGGGAGCCACTGAGCATTTCTGAGGGGGCATGTGTCGACTGAATCTTAGAAAGAGAAATCTGGAGGTAATAGATAAGACAGACAGGAAGAGCAACAGAGGGCAGTTATATCCCAGAAATCATTTAGGAGCCTTTAACAATATTCTAGTTGATCAGTCCTCACTATTAGTTTGTGCCTCTTCTCCCCAAAGCAAAACTCTAGAAAAGAGTTTAATGCCAAGTACTTTATCTGAGAGATGATCACAGGATTCACTCTGAGAGAATGGGGAAGTACAACAAGTCTTTGAATAACGTTGTTGTTTTGTTATAATGTTGATGAAATACTGTAGGAACTTAACTCTTGTTTATATCTATTAGCTTGTGGTAAAATTGGTTTCATTATATGTGTTCCACTTAAAGTCTCAGAAACCATCGATGATATTAAATGGGGGCTTACTGTAAGAGGCTGAAGGGAAAAAGTCAATTAAAAGTAAGATAGTTATTAGAGTACTGCTGAGACCTGGGGAACCTCACCTGGAAACTTCTGAGAATTTTCACACCAAAGGGCAAGAAAGTTGTATTTATCATACTTATCCACTAACTCCTATCCATCGTTGATTAAAATTTGCCCTTAGAGCAATTGAGTTCTCACTAGAAAAGAGTCATATGGTACCACTGGTGTGTATAGGAACTCTCCGAACCGGGGATTTTAGTGGAGGCACTGAGCATATCTTAAAGTGGTTATCATGGCATATCGATTGGTAGGTAGAAATTTTGAGAATTGAATGGATTTGGAATTTTCACATTAGCTGGCAGTGAGCTACAATTGTGTTTTAAATGTACCTGTGTGGAAATTTAAGTTCGAATGCCTATTTGGCCATGGAACAAAAAGTTAAGATTGCCCATTCTTACCTGAGATTAAGGGCAGACCAAACTAAGCCAATAACAGTGGGTTGGAAAACAAAGAGGCAGTTTCAAGAGAAATAAAAAGGGAAAATGATGCTGTAACAGCTTAGGTGTCCAGGAAATCAAACTCTGAAATTGGAGATTCACATGCAGGACATTTATTAGGGAATTTGTTGTGATCAACACTTGTGGAAGGGAAGAGAAGAAAGTATGTTGGCCAGAGAGAAGAGTTGAGTTTCCAGGCAGGCCCAATGAAAGGTTCAGTCAGCTCACCAGGCCTCTGAAGCTAAGCTGGCCCTTCAGAGTTGTCCCAAGTTGGAAGCAGAGAGTTGGGTCTTTATAGTGCTGTGTTGATCAGTCATTGAAAGCGGGCTACACTGAAATGAGATTTGACCTTGGAAAAGGCTTTTTTTTTTTTTTCCAAGCAAGGCAGTGCCTAAAGAGGGCTAACCTGTTGGTATTCTTTTAGCATCATTCCCAGTAGCTACAGAAATAAGTCCTTCATTCCTGAAAACAGACGACATGGTCTACCACAACAACATGTGATGGAGAGAGAAGGGAGAAAGGAGAATCAAATGTAATTCTGACACTAAGCAATTCTAAGGCAGGTGATACCACTAAGTGTGAGAGAAAAGCAATCAGCAGGATAGATTTACCAGTTAGGGAGGGAATGTCCAGTTCTGCTTTGATTTCAAAATTATCTTTTCATATTAGTAAATTTCAGAAAAATGGAAAACTTTTCAATCAATCAACCTGGATATGAAACTATGGAAACTTAAAGGAAAACAGACAAACAAAAGCACCATGTGTGAAAGCATGGCAGAAATATGTGTTAATGACTAAATGCTTTAAAACGTGATGGCTTAATTCTTAAATAACCAGAAAATGACCTCTCTGTTCTGGATAAATTTTAGAATGCAAAAAGCTAATATTACTGTCCATTATTATAGGATTAGTATATAACAAATTATAGAACTGAAATAATGGCCTGTTGCTTATTTGTCAAAATGAAATATGCAACTAAATTTCCATTTGTCTCATATAGAAGCTTTATTTTTTGCACAAGGTGAAAATCATTAGGCCTTAGTGGTTAGCATATACTTTAGTAACAATAGTCCCGAAATTAATTTTGATTATAATAATATAATATCCTTCACAAATATGATTTAGAAATAGCTAAAGTTTGCATGTTTGCAACATAGAGCACTAATATAGCACTAAGAAAAAGAATTTGTACATGTAAGACTTAAGATTGTACAGCTTGGTATAACCTACATATCACTTTTTTCTAATAATTTCCTGCAGTTGTTCTTTAATAATCTATGCAGGACACCTATGTCTCTGGCATAACTGTTCTAAATTGCCGATGAGGATGTCACACTAATCAGCTCATTACCCTCCAGCTCTTGAATATCGGAGTTATAATATAATTTTTAAAAGCATATTTTAATCACAACAAACAAGTGACTGTCTAAACTTGTAGGGATTCCTCTAGGGCCCCCTATCTATGCCTAGAACTATGAAGCTAAATAATTATTTTGAGATTTCATGGTCCAAAAATATAATGGGAAATTTGGCCCCCAAACCATGCAAGCATGTGTTCTTTAGCTGATGACTTTCTTCTCTGATTCCCAATTATGACCCTAAAAGCAAAGACTCCAGATCAGCACAGAGTAGCTCATATCCCAGAACATATGTCATCTCCAGTGATGACTCACTGGGGTGAATTCCTTCTTTTTCAGTTTGTATGTGTGTTTCACTTAAAATTTTCAGTTGGGAGAGGAGTCTCTGAACATCCCTTCCAACGTATTGTAGCAATGGTAATCCCTAAATATTTTCAAACACATTTTCTCTCATTGTTAACTAGTGCAGTTGATTTTTTTTAACGTAAATATGGATCTTCGTGATTATCCCTTATGAACTCCTACTTGTGAGCAACATACATACTTTCATTTCCAGGGTTACTGTCTTTAGAAATTATTGCAATCATTAATGACATTTATTTGTGACTACCCCAAAAAAAGGGGTGGGGGGAGGAAGGGGAAATTTAGGTAGTTGGATATTTTGCCTTTGTCCATAGAGTGGATGGAAGTTCAACAGGGAAAGCCAATAGTAAAGATAATTTATTGAATTATGAGTCATTTAAATATATGGACCGATAACAAGCTGAAATAATTTAATATGTTGATCATGGCCTGATGGCCTAAAATGATTTCCAAACATTATCCAACAGGAATACTTTTACACCTAAAACTAATAACAATATTATATGTCGATTATATCTTAATTCATTTTTTTAACTTTAAAAGAAAATTTTTATATAGCAAGTCTTTAATGATACAGAACACTACATGGACACAGTCCAATGCAGTCACCAAGGTACTTTAACCTTTTATTCTACATTAGAAAACTAAATATTAAGAACCCACATTTAAGGTGGTCTCCAGTCATATTAGTAAATTTAGTCTCTATTCCAAATATTCACGATAGAGTAGTCTGAAATTCTCTCTTATTTTTTATGACCCTTGATAAGCTGGTAGCTCCAGAATGTAGGTGACAATGATCAGTTTTGATGTAGCCAACAATTACCTTGTATTTTTTTTCAATAGCATCCAAAAGTGCTCTTTTACTTGCTGAAAAGTGATTGTATTCATTTAGTTCAACATAACTGTGATTTATAGCTAAGATTCATTTCTGCACATTTGTAGTTTGGAAGTTCATACACTGGAATGAGACCTATTATGACATTGGCACAAGAAAGCCTTGTCCAAACAATTGCAGTCAAGTTTTTCAGGCAGCTTTTCTAAAGACTTTTTAAAATTTCTTTTCAATAAACTTCTGCTTGCTGTCAGAACAAATTTAATGTGCACACGGTAAAGTTTTTAAGTTAGGCTTATGTTTAAACAAGATATAAATAGTTTTTATATTTGGCATCCTGCTACTCTTTAAAATGATACAATGTATGGAAAGATATATTACCAATTGCCATCTTTGAAATACAGAAATTTAGTTCAGAATTTTATTTCTAATATTGGATGTGATGAGAAGCATTGCCTGTCATGTGTATTTTCAGAATGAATGCTGAGCAAAAGTAATGTTATTTAAATTGGCATTTTTTCATTTAAGGCAGTAGATTCATGCTAACCACCACATTGCAATGGCAAAATTGTACTTCTCTTACTTTGCTATTTCCTATTTCACTGTTATTATGTTGCAGAGGAATACATCCAAAAGTCAAACACGACTTCAACCTCTATATCATTATCTGGTTGTTTGACCTTGGTAATATAATTAACCTCAGTGAATGTCAGATTTCTTACATGTAAAACATAGATAATATTACACCTTTCAGGGTGGTTATGGGCATTAAAGGGGAATATATGGAAAGTGCTCATAGTAAGTGCTCAATTAATGTTTATCACTCCTATTTAATGTACTAATTCCCATTTTTTAAAATTCCTTAACATGATATAGATATATGGGAGAATTGGGGGCTGCTTTTGTCCCTACTCTGTCCTGGTTTGTCCCTATAATAGAAATCTGACCTTGTAGATTTTACTAATCTTTTCCTGTTTTTGATAGTGTCTTCTGTTATATTCAGGTCAAAAATGTGTTATAGAGAGAACAAACAGTATAATACGAAATAAATGGAGCCTATAGGACTACAGTTGGATGCTAAATTATTACAGTTGATTCTTGAACAACACAGGTTTGAGCTGCATAGGTCCACTTATATGCTTTTTATTTTCAAAAATAAATATGCTGTTGACCTTCTGTATCTCCAGGTTTTGCTTCCGCAAGATCCAACCAATTGCAGATTGAAAACAGGATTTTTGTTTCTTGGTTGGGAGTCTGTGGATATGGAGGGCCAACTTAAGTTACACAGAGATTTTTGTCTATGCAAGGAATCGATGCCCCAAACCCCCACATTGTTCAAGGGTTTATTGTATACATTTTATCATAAAAATTAAGAGCTTAAAAAGAGTGTGAGACTAGCTGTATTATGCACAGAATGAAGACAGATGTGCCACAGCATTGGGTTGCTTTATCTCTGTTCTTTCTCATCTACATTTTGTTTTACCACCTTGCCTTTTGGTCCCCTAAAGAAGAGGAAATAAAACAAAAGAAAATGAGTTAGAAATAATGTTACGATAAAGAAATGAAAAAGATAGACAGAAGTACGAAAGTTAGCAGAAGATTCCTTAGGCTTTCATCTTTAGTCATGCTACTTAGATTTTACAGGGTAGTATGATATTAGAGAAGCAAAACAATTAAAATTCATTTGATCATGTGTAATATAGTGTGCATAGAGCAAATACTTACAAAAAAGCTTTTTGACAGAATTAATATGCCTCCAAAAAATTACAAGTTCAGAAAAACCCAGCCATACAGAGATTTTCCTTGACAGTGTTCCTCATTAGTGATCGGAGTGGTGAAGCATGAAGCCAGTGGAAGGATCAGGGTGGGTATTAGGGGACCAGGTTTAACTGTTGCCATGGAAACTTGCTTTTGGAAATTTTCTAAGGGATGAAATAGTTTAGGTAATCAATGAGCAGTATCAGAGACCTATCGCTCTAGGTCAAAATAATCTATTGCTTTAGGTCAAAATAAATGTTTTGGAAATATGTGAGTGATTTTGCTATTTTTCCAGTCAAAAGTCCATTTATTCTGTGGTATATTTGGTGATATTCAGACATGACTTCATGTGCCATTACCTATATTCTATGTCAGGGAAATGTGTATGCCTTTGTCACTTACTAATGGTGTGACCTGGAGTAAGTTGCCCAACCTTTATGGCCCAGGTTGCTCAGCTTTAAAATAAGTTTAATGACAATTAACTCATATGTTTATTAAAGGAGTTAAATAGATAATGAATGAGAAGAACTTACCATATGCCTAACACAATAAATGTTCAATAAAGGAGTTTTCATTATTTTCTGTAGAAAATCCATTAATAAAAATTACATTGCTCAGTCTTTAAACTTGAGTATGATATTTACTTTTACAAGATAATATGAAATTATAGAAAAATAATTCCTAATTTTATAAAATGATTTATATGCTGAGAAATGTTTGTTTTATTGACTATTAAAACAAGGATTTTAAAAACTCAACCACTTAAAGTGTTTAGCAGAGAAAAAACTCCATTTTTCAAAATAAAAGCTTATGCTATTGAAAATATAATAGCTATAATTACTATTCTTATGAGATTTTGTTGTAACAATCTCTTTAGACAAACTGAAAATCTCCATTAAGTCTATGATGCTGTATCTTAGAGAGTTGCTTTTGCTCAGTACTGTTATTTCTGTTATAGTTTTTCAAAGCAGTCTAATAATTTTCCTATCACTCAGATAAACTCAATCACCAACAGTCAACCTTTTATTTACTTATGTTCCTTTTAGATTTGTTGGCCTTAGCCAGAACAAAGGAATGTAGGGAACAAAGTAATCACATGTATATATATATATACTGTGGAAAAAGTTATCATCTTTTGAAACACGTATTCTTCTCATAATCACTGTTTACTGCATTTGGTTTGAATATTCATTGCTGACGGTCTAGATTGCTGAGTCTAATATTATTCTTTTAAAAAGTCTACAAGAATTTGACTGCTTGTTTCTTTGACCGTAGCTAATTAATAACCAAAAATAAAGATGCAATTTAAAAATGCAGTTGTTTAGAAATAAAATTAAAATTACATTGCCAAGAAAAAGCCTTTTCACTGGAAAAATTAAATCTAAATTAGTGGCATAATTCTAAGATCCATTGTTTAGAAGTGTTCTTTCAATTAAAACATAAGCTACTAAATTGGCCTGTAATTGCTTCCACAGTTCTCTTCATCCATTTCCTTTTTTTGAGATAAATATTTAATTTTTCATTCTGGTGTTTAATATATGATCTTGTTAAACTCATGTAGGGCTTTTGAATTGTTTTACAAATGCTTGTCTATTTTCTCTTTGTTAAGGGATAATAAAAATATAATAACATTTAAATGGATGTGTTAGAGAAAGAAACATATGCTGAGTAAATAAATGGACTGAAATGAGAAAGACTGGAGAATGTGTGCTTTTAATTCTTGAGAGTATTTCATAGTATTTGAAATATCAATTAGGTTTTCTTATTATTAAGTGCACACATATTGTTTAACATATATCCAAATAACGGTTTTATCTAACTGAATTGTTTTCTTAGTTTCCTCTACAAATTGTTCATTGCTACTGTATAGAAATTTAACTGATTTTGTGCATTGATTTTGTATCCTGCATGTTTGCTGAAATCTTTTATTAGGTCTAACATTTTTATTGTGGAATTAAGGTTTTCTATGTATAAGAAGATGTCATCTGCAGAGATGATTTTACTTCTTCCTTTCCAATTTGGATACCTTTACTACTATATCTTGGTATAATTGCTCTGGCTAGAAATTCCAATACTGTGTTGAATAAAAATGACAAGACCAGACATCCTTGTCTTGTACCACTCTTAGAGAAAATGTTTATAGTTCTTCACCATTGGATATAATGTTAACTGTGGATTTTTCATATATGGCCATTATCATTTGGAGGAAGTTCTCTCCTATTCCTATTTTATCATGAAATGCTTTTGAATTTTGTCAAATACTTTTTATCCATCAATCGACATGGTCATGTTTTTTTTTCTTCATTCTGTAATATGGTATATTATATTGATTTGAGTTTTGTATATCGATCCACCCTCCACTAATTCATTTTTCTGAAAGCTGATACAGTCCTATTATTTGCCACATTTTCTTAATTATTATGAGAAATCTGTTTTAAAATTATCATTTTAGTGGAGATTTTGAAAAAATTTCCTCGAACTTTCCATTAAGTTGTTCTATACCGCCATGAGATTTAATTCTAATACTAACAGCTAGATTTATATTTGGCTTTATATTTATCAGTTTAAAGCTAGAACAACTTTAATATCTGAAACTGACCTTTCATTTTAGGAAACTAATCCTTGGTTAGTCTGACATCTTGTACCTATGTTTTGTAGGTAAAATTTTATTTTCCATTAAAAGTGGACAAGATGATGATTCTGAGAAAGACTTGGATCAAAATGAAGATGAAGATGAAGATCAAGATATAGTGCCCTTCTTTCAGAAATCATTATCAGAACTATCCTACAAGATTCATGAGAAAGACTTAGGTAAATTTATTATTATGGAGAGTTTCATGATCAGTTTTCATAACCCCTCATCATTGACTTTTAAATGAATATATGCTTTACATTCATAATAGAGATACAAATGTGTATTGCATATATTTGTCAAAATTTTATTGTTTTATTTTAGGATTAACTTTATATAGTTTATTTTATGGATTTGTACTGCTATTAACATTAATAGATTATAATCTTTCAACTTTAAGGCCATCTACTCTTTCATAAGTAAAAAAATTTACATATACTTCTGTTAAACAAAAAACAACAGCAAATTTCTGATAAAATGTTAATGAGTATATTGTCTTAACAATGTAATATGCTTTTATTAAATATAGGATATGATAGCAATGTTCATCATATGCAAAAGAAAGTAAATGCTATTCTTTTCCTTTCCTATATTATAAAACTTTATTTGAATGTTATTAAATGTCGTATCTTTTTAGTAGAAATTCAAATTAAAATGAGATGATGGAGCATGGAAATAAACAAGGAAGATTTCCTGGAGAATGGGGGAATGAGTTTTCTTATGGGTCAGTAGTAGGGACACAAGAAAGCATTAGAGAACAGTGGGTCAACAGGAGCAGAGTTTTGGAGACAAAGAGGTATACTCAAGAAGAAATCTTTATTAAATGAATTTGTATTTAGTCAGGATTCTTCAGAGAAACAGATATAGCCATAATATTATAATGTAATCTAAAGTAATGTAATACATATAAATAGAAAGATTTTAAGGAATTGCCTAACATGATTGTGGGGACTGGTAAGTCCAACATCTGTAAGGCAAGGGAACAGGGTAAAATATTAGATAAAGAGTTGCTGTGCTAGTCTTGACTCCAAATTCCCCAAGTCAGCTCAGGCAGGTTGCAAGCTGAGGGTTTCCATAATCCAGTCTTGACTAAGAATTGCTTCTTCTTTGGGTACCTTAGTCTTTGCTCTTAGAACCTCCAACTGAATGGAGGAGGCCCACCCACATTATGCAGGGTAATCTGCTTTACTAAGAGTCCACTGGTGTAAGTTTTCGGCACATTTAAACAAAATAATTTCACAGCCAACATCTGGACTGGTGTTTTAACCAAACAATTGGACACCATAGCCCAGCCAAATTAACACCTAAAATTAACCATCACAGAATACATGCCACTATTTAGACTGGTCTGGAAAGGGAAGAGCAGTTGGAACCAGCTAGGCCATTGCAACAGCAAATAGAGTTTGAAGTGAAGAGAACAATGTATTTTATAGTGGTGACAGAGATAAAGAAATATAACTAAAGATGGAAAACATTGCAGAGACTAGTATTACATGATTCTCTTGAGAGAGGAGATAGAAAGGATTGATTCCAAAAAATAACAAGGTTTATTTGTATCTTGGTGAATAGAAAAATATTAAGATAGACATTTAGAAGTGTTGTGACTTTGTTAAATTAACATTTGTTAAGTAGAGCCCTGAGATGTCAAAGTTCAACAAAGGACTGCAAGAGAAAGTAAAATAGAGAAGCTTATTACTCACAGGTCCAGGAGGAGGTACTCTGGATGCCTGCAGGGGCTACAAGGAGAGAGCAAAGTTGGGGATAGGCAGAGAGAGGGGAAAGACCTGGGCACATGCCTTTATTCGGGTCCTTAGGTGGAGTGCTTTCGGGGTTACTGGGCTAAGGGCCAGATTGGTCAATTTAAACCAAAAGGAGTGGGGTTTTGTTAAGCTTCACTGGGGATCTTATGTAAGGGACACACAAGAGGAAGGCCCTGGGAGGTGGGGGTAAGTACTATCACAAGGGTGATTGGGAGAGTCATATTCTGAACTTACATTTACTTGTGACTGCTGGGCTGTTTTCTAGGGCATGCACTTTTGGGGCAGGGTGCAGTGTCAGTTCAAGGCCTCGGCAGGCCATTTGGCCACACATTATGGATGGGGAGGCAGTAATATTATGAAGTAGTTTAGTTAAACTCTCCACAAGAGAGAAGAAATAAAAAAGTCTGGGTGATTGTAATACTTAGCACAGTTTTGTATTTCCTAATTTTGATGTGATAATAAGCCATTTACATGGCAATATTCAGTCATCAGTTGAAAATTTGGAGCTGAGAAAAGGTGAAAAAAATAATAAAACGAGTTGTAAAAGTTTAGATTTCTTTGGTTGAAATCATGCAGGTGAAGCCAAAGAACAGATGCCTTTTGTATATGGATCATACTAAGAGTTAAACCCTCATCAAAATCTAAAGCAGAAGAACCAGCAAAGAAAATTAAATAAAAGTGTTTGGAAGAGTTTGAAAGAAAATCAAAATATTATGGTGTCATGTTAATGGAATAAAATAGAATGCTATCTAATTTTTAAAGAAGCTGCACAATGGCGGATTGCAAGATAGATTGAGACCTAGGAAAAATGCATCTAGTAACATTACAGTATCCCCAATTCTTTAGGTAGGCTTTCCCATATCCCTATTCAGACAGGAGTAACCTTTCTATCACCTCTAATAACATGGGTCTCTTTCTTACTAACTGCTCAGCAGTATATTTCTTTTCAATTAGGGATGTTTCAGTTATGCAAAATGAGTAAGTTCTGGAGATCTAATGTACATCAATGTGATTATAGTTAAGAATATGATAGTTTATGCTTGAAATTTGTTTAGAAAGTAGAGCTTAAGTGTCCTCACCTCCCCCTCCACAAAAAAAATGGTAACTATGTAAGATGATGGATATGTTAATTAGTTTGATTGTGGCGGTTATTTCAAAATGTATATGCACATTAAATAGATATAATTTTTAACAGTCAGTTATACCTCAGTAAAGCTGGAGCAGAAAACAAATGAAAACAGCTAAAAAAGAAGTTTCCTTTAACCTTCCAAATAGGGAAATATGATAAATAATGGCAACACCCAGTTTTAATGAGGGCCAGGTTGAAAGAGACAATCTTATGCATTATCATAGAAATTTGAATTGATAAAAATTTGAACAGAGCATTTACAGTATGTTTAAAACTTAAGAATTGTTTATCCCCCTTGATCCAATCATTTCAGTGTAAGAAATTTGTTGGAACAAAATAAAGATATGCACATATATTTTATATAAGAATATTCTTTACATGATCTATTATGTTGAATAATTAATTTTTTTTAGTTTTTAAATTTTATTTAAAATGTTTTTAAATAGGTATTACCTGCACATAAATGATTTTTGTCCACTTTTATTGAGAAATAATTGTCATACATCATTGTATAAGTTTAAGGCATATAGCATAATGGTTTGATTTAACTACATATGTTGTGAAATGATTACCACAATAGGTTTCACTAACATCCATCTTCACATATAGATACAGTAAAAAATAAGAAAGGAAAAAAATCTCCTAGTGTTTAGAACTCTTAGGATTTACTGTCTCAACAACTTTCCTGTAGTACAGCAGTGTTAGCTATAGTCACCGTGTTGTACATTACATCCCTAGGACTTATTTATCTTATAACTGGAAGTTTGTATCTTTTGACTACCTTTATCCACTTCCCCAACACTCTATCTCTGGTAACCACAAGTCAGATCTCTTTTTATATGAGTTTTGTAGATTTCTTGTTTATTTGTTTATTGATTTGTTATTTAGATTCCACATAAAAGTAACCACAAGTCAGATCTCTTTTTATATGAGTTTTGTAGATTTCTTGTTTATTTGTTTATTGATTTGTTATTTAGATTCCACATATAAGTGAGGTCAGTATTTGTCTTTCTTTGTCTGACTTATTTCACTTAGCATAATGCCTTCAAGGTCCATCCGTCTCAATGTAAATGTTAGGTTTTCCTTTTTTATAGCTAAATAATATTCCTCTGAGTGTGTGTGTGTGTGTGTGTGTGTGTGTGTGTGTGTGTGTGTGTGTGTCACAACTTCTTTCTC